AATTTTTGTTTTTATTGGTACTAGTCTGCAGTACATAATGATTACATCCATCACAGGGTGCTCTTGCATGCACATAACACATCTTAATCCTTTTCATATCCTCTTCTCCTCTTCTTCCTCCCTGGATATTTTTAAAGAAAAGTTTCCAGTTGATTTCAGTGTGCAGCCAGGATGAAAGATCACCAATGCCTAGAATGATGCCTTCTGCACTTTCAGTGCTAGGATTACATGGAATAGGATACTACAGGGCCAATTTAAAAATGACAATTTTGGGGTGGCATCAACAGTTTTAAAAAAAATTCTACTATGTCTTTTTTATTTTTAAAACTTCAGGTCATCAAACAAATTATGCACTTAATGAAGTCTGTGAAATGTAAAAAGATAATGGCATTATCTGGAAAATGTTTCAAAAGACGTAAGCCACGAAGAAGAAAGCACGCATGCAGAGGGACGCACCTTCAGCGCTGACCGCAGAGCGCACAGACCAAACCGAGCCCCGGCGGAAGGAGTAGTTCCGGTGAGAAGTGCTGGAGGTGCAGGATGGACTCACAGACAGCCGGCGGGACGCCAGATTGGTGACTTCTTCTACTGGCAAACAAAATGAAGAATGTGACCTCTGTTTGTTTGTTTCTAAACATAAATTTATTATCATCCCAAGTGTACACTCTACTCAGAATATAAGGCTTATATGACTTAGGGTGTAGTCAGGAAGGGGAAAAATCAAACATCAGTTGCAGAAATAGAAAAATCCCTCCCAAAGTTTTCTGTAAAAATAACACAGAGAATCACTGAGCTTGGAATGGATCATAAATTCTTCTGTTACCAACAACCTGGCTGAGTTTTGAAAGCTAAACGCAGTTCACTGGCGAACCCCGTTTTCAATGATGCGAGATCGGTCCCATTTACTGTAATAGGCACTCTGGATTCCGCTGTTTCCCGAAGCACAGCCACTGCCGGGTCCACCATCAACCAGAATTACTCGGTATGGCTGAGGTCCCCTAGAAACAGCCAGCTCTAACTTTAGTAAGCAGCTCGTCTCTTTCAATGACTAATGCCAGGAAATGAGAGGGAGAGGGAGGAGACACACCACCTCAGGCCACCCCATCAGAACATGGGGTCTACTTCAAAAGCAACTCCTTTCCCTGCGACGCAGCCCCCGGGAGACCCCCGTGTAGAGGGCACCTTCTTCTTCCGGCTCCGAGTTGGGCGTGCAGGTGGGCTCGTAGCAAGCCTCCTGGGTGATGGGGATGGCAGTGATGAGGCTGGCTTCCCGGCCAAGACGCTTCTTTTCTTCCTCCTGCTGCAAGTTCTTCAAGATGTGTTCTGCCCTCTGATGGGAGCGGGACACAGCCCGGGCTGAGAAGGATTTCTGGGGAGACATGAAGCCGACTATATTTAGTAGTGACTCCCCCTGGGAGTGAGAGGCAGAAAGTGACCTACACAAGCATGGCTGTTTATCTTCAGGAAATGCTAGGGCATCTGGGATCTCGGTTTGTGGAGATTTACTTATCTGTTTTCCTACCATATTTCTAGGTTATGTATATCAGAACTCCCTCAGTCAGAATTTCTTGGGAATATTGTTTCACCTTTAGGATTGGGGGAGGGGAGTATCAATCATTCATACTTTAAATATGAAGGCCAAAATGAAGGCAGGAGACAGGAAAAGGAATGTTGTGGGACTGTCCTGCTTCAATGTTGTATATGGTTAGATTTTTGGATTTACGTGTAAACATAAGAAGTATATAATTCTTTATGCCTATTTTAAAAATATATTCTAATTTTTAATTGTTTTTTCATCATATTCTATAAGGACTTAAAGTTCAACATATCAATACTTGATAAAAAATACCAGTTCCATGTTATGCCTAAGATGTTTGATATTCACACAGATAGTGAGGTTAAGCTTAACAGCCTAGGTTGTATGGTAATAACAATAAACTTCTCTTCTGGAGGATTAACAACCTAAGTTTGCAGACCAAAATTAGAGAAAAAGGAAAGCTGCAAGGAAAGCCAACATTTTGGCCCTAGCCTTCCAAAGTCAATTAAGACTCAGGACATATGAGAACTTGTAATGTAACGTCATGTAACTCAGTAGTGTCCCAAATTTTCTGATCAAGGAGATTATGGGGCCAAAGAGGAAAGTGATCGATGATGTAGAGTGTGCCTAAGGAGAGTCACCTGGAGAGAAAACATTCTCTCAGGCTTTCACAGAGAGCACATTGACCAAGCAATGGCCATGACTCATCCACATGGCTGATGCTGACAAAGGTTCTACAATCTGAGGTACAGGATCTCAGGATAAATCCTGAGGGGATTTCATTGACCTTATCAGACCCAAAAGCTACAACTCTTGTTGCATAGGTCTTGCTTTACCTTGGTCTTGAGCATCCCGCAGAAAAGTATAAAAACGAAATGTTAGAAGTAAAACCATGCTGTTATGTTGAGCTATAGGGGACTCAGGTCAACAATTTCTGACATTGCCAGTGAAGTGGAAGACCCAATACTATTATGGACTACTGGACTCTTTTAGAATATTTCGCTGAGTTTACACACCTATAATATTCAAATAACAGAACTTAACAAAAAAAGGGTTTACAGATGAATGTCCATTTTGTATCTGTGTATTCAAAGTGGTTAGGATAGATATATAGTTACATTTTCTTAATGAATAGAGTGATTTGTTCTAATGGTGTTTGTAAATAGGATATCATGTCTGCATCTTGTACAACAATTAACCACTAAGAAGAATGTATGCAATGTGTTAATTATTGAAACTGTCCTACCAATTTAGTTTGAAACTGTCTCATTGCTGTTTATCAATAAAATTATGGGGAAAAATAAAAAATAAAATAAAATAAAATAAATAAGAAGGCCAAATAAAATTTGGTATAAAATTTTTTGAACTGGTTTTAAATGGAAGGACATTTATTACATACTAAGGTTGAATATAAAATTTGATTCTATGTTTACTACAGCCCAGGCACAGGGAGGATTAAGGCAGACCGAACAGCTGACAGACAAAGAAGCATGAAGGAGAAAAATTCACTATGAAAAATGGTTATCCTACTATGGCTTCCTTATCTAAGATGCCTATGCTGAGGCGAATTCTGAGAGGTTTGGGACCAGAATCCTCGCTCTTAGCGTGGGGAATCATCACTGGAGCTCTTCACTACCAATCTGAAGCAGTCTCCATACAGCAGTTCTGCTTCTCACTGGTGCCCTCCAATCACAACATTGTTGAGATGAGAGGTGTTCATCACTCTGCTAAAGGGCTGCACTCATAGAAGGCTGCCAGGTAGGCTACTGAGGCAAAAGCCTGCTACAATAAACAGCACACCAGCAAGTAAAAGCATTTGCTAGGCCACTTAGTGACACATTCTCAAAACTAGGTTTCAAAAACTGGCTGATGATGTGGTGTAAAGAAAGAACAGTAGAATGAAGAAGAAAACACATTCTGAATACAAAATTATGGAGCTTGGCTTAAAATCTGTTGTGAAGTTGGGATACAGTTTATTGACTGAAACAGGAACCCATCACATATACTGGAGAAGCACCAAAGATCTTTAAGCTCATAGCTCCGAAGTTGGAATTATTGCATATAAAGGTGTAGAAGCAGGTGTGCCTTTCTCTTCAGTATGGGATTATCAGATATGAAGACACTGTGTGTGGAAGAATTAAAACAAAATAAGCAGTAGAGTTCAGACAATTCTTCAGTGCAGAAAAATGGATCAACCTGGAAAACACAATGTTGAGTGAAATAAATCAGACACCTAAATTTATGTACTATATAGTGTCTCTCATTTGAGTAAAGCAAATAACACAACACAGGATGGAGAGAAGGGGACAAGGGGGCAAGTGTCTTGCACAGGGAAGGGGTGAAGAGAATGTGGCTGAGAGGAGAGTGGGAGGGGAAGGAAAGAAAAGATGTGCATGTACCAGAAAGAAGGCAATGTGCAGAACCATAGGATCATGAAGAATGAAGTGGAGAAAAAGGGCTGAGAAGCTGGGGACGGGAGGAGAGGGAAGGGGAGGAGG